ATCACCACACTATGATCAAGTACAAGGTGCAGCAAGGGCTGCAGGGACTCAAACCCTATGATAGTATCAACTCTTGGAATAGATGGCGTTCACTAGCCTTCAGTCAGCGAAGGCCAAGCTGACTTCCATGTGCTAATCAGATCCCTGCTAGGGCTGTGGCACCTCCTGCAAGTCATACAACTCCCAAAATTATTGGGCAGAGACTAGGCCATTCACAGTCCTAGAATAGAATACCAGAAGCACGAAATTAACTTCATCCTGATGTCATTATTCCCTTCACTATTCCAGGACAGCTATCAGGGTGCAAGCAACGGGTGGTTGACCACAACCCTTCCTTGGTACCGGCAGTTGTTCCGAGGCATGACCATTGTTTCCATCATCCAGACCCAGCTGCAGGTCGACGGTCCTGGACACTAATGAATTCGCTGCAGCAAAAGGGCCAGGAAGTTGTGCCCACAACAAAAGGAAAGTTAAAAGTATTGATATGTTTTTGCATATTCCATGTTGTGCAATTATAGCCATTCAAAAGTGTGTGTTTGTGCAATGTGCATGTGTGAGGGTCCATGCGTGTCAATGCATGTGTATTTCTAAACAATTGCCACAGCAATCCCTTTCCCGCCTGGATGCATAGATATCATAATTGGAACAGCCTTACCAAGTGGATACGTTAAAATGATTGTCGGCTATCTCACAGATGCAATCTGAGTGCGTGTGCAAGTTCGTGGATGTGTGTTGTAGACTGTCACCAGAACAACCCCTTTTCCACCCAGATGAGTGGCTCCAAATTGAATCACCCTTACCTTACAATCTTCAATGAATTTATATGTGATACTTTAAATGATCATAATGTTTTGGCTTCTTAAACAGCCGCTACATTTCACAGGAAACTTCCTAAGAATGCGTATAACCTATGGTGCATTCTTCAGAGGCCGCGCACCGCCGGACCAAAATGGCCGGTGGCGCCAGCCCAAAAAGAAACAAAAGTCGCGCTGGCGCTTCGGTAAAGCTTGATGCTGAGTTCTTTTCCACCTCGGCAAAAAGAGGCTCGGAGGTAGTGGTGGTGTAATAGTCCTATTCTGAACAAGTGTAAGTGTGTGCACGTGTGCGTGTGTTTGAAACAATCACCATAGAAACCCCTTTTCCACTCGGACACATAGACGTCGTACTGAAACATCTTACCATGTCGTCTCACCATGTGATATTTCATAGTGCTGTTTCGGTTTAGTTCATTTCAATTTCTATTCACAACAGCGCATGCCCTCCCACAGCGCTGTACTCTAAGAAGAGGGGGCATTCACACCTATTTGCCTCTAGGCACACTTGCACCTTATATTTGTATGTTCTTTTCATTATGTTCATTCCTCAGATTCCTATTCATTCAGCAGTTCTGAACAGGAGAGAGGAGGTGGGAGACGGACAGGGAAAAGGAAGGAGAGAGAAAAGGGAATACCCCATTAGCTCCTGAATACTCACCAGCAGACCAGTCTCCCCAGTACTGACTGAAACGCAGTGTCCACTCATGGGTCATGGGTTGAAGTGAACTTGGGCAGCACAAGAGGAAGAATGTAGGAGCACATGCTGCCCAGCACTGAGCAGCAGGTATTGCTGATAGTTCGTGGCCAGCCCTAAAGATTGGGCAGTAGCGGTTTGGGTGTGGCTGATCGCAATTAATGTAGGCACTTGCAGCCCCTCTTTACAGAGAGGACATTGTATAAGAGGGTGCTGTTGAGGACTACACGAGGAACTGTTATCAGAAGTGTGGAAACCAAAACTTGCTTGGATCATACCTCATATTGGTCTTGATACAGGGAATAACGATCACGAGGCATCCAAGCATCATACCATGATCAACTGTATGAAAGACTTATGCTCGTGACCTTGGGCTGTGTGTGCACTTGCTTGGGTGTAGATGAGAGAAATTGAGATGTGTGAAAAGTACCTTTTATTTATCAGGTCGGTCACTGCAGTGTGGCAGTGAGCAGAGAGTTTCTTGGCTTTGTCCTTGTGCTACCATCGTACCCTGTCGGTCGGTCGATGATAACGGATTTGGATCCAAAACAACGATGCTCGTCTGTTGCAACATCTGACCTGCCACTGCTCACCCTGGGGGTGGCAACTTTCCAGTGCACTGCCACATCTCATCTACAAGAACTGGCAGGGAAAGAGCCCGAATGTGGTGTGGGAAGATGACAACATATCATCTCGTTTCAGGGACATGAGCCCAGTCATGGCAATCTACGCTCAGCAGGCGGAACTGAGGGACGGCCTGCAATGGAAGCCGTGGGAATTAATTTGTGAAATCCCCTATGCCATATTGGTCACAAGGACGAGGTTGACAGGATCGAATACAGCATAGCAGCTTTCACGAGAGAGGAGTGGTTGGGAAAAAGTGAGGAGGAACCTCTGGAGAGGGCAAAGATGGAAAGGGAGAAGAGGGAGGAGAGAAGAACTGCTAACGCTGCCTCCTAAATCCAGTACCAGCACCATATCAAGGACAACC